CCCCCCCCCCCCCCCCCGGCCCCACAAGGGCGCTGACGGCGCGCGCGCGCGCGCGAGGACAGCGACACAAAAGAGCGGGCAGTGTGAGACAGGCCCCCTGGGCGTGGGGAGGTGCGTCGGCGATTGGTGTGCTCCGTTGGCACCTTGCTTGGGCGTCGGCAGCCGGAGGGCGAGTCTATTTGGCCGGCGCCTGGCGCGGATGGTTGGCCGGCGCCGAGGAGGGGGGGGTACGGTTGAGGAAGAGCACATGCTCCGGGTGGGCCAGCGGGTCGAGCTCCTCCGGCACGATGACCGTCGATCGGGATGACCCGCGCCCGGGCCCGGATCGGGCCTCCGGATGGCACAGCGGGCAAATGTACTCCGGTAGCGGAGCGCCCGGGGGGACCCGGCCGGCGGAGGACCCGGCAGCCTCCTCGCCATCGGGCTGCGAGTACCCGGTGGCCGAGCTCTCGGGGATGAAGTGGATGCCCACCGGCGAGCCGATGGACTCATTCAGGATCTGGGAGAACTGCGGGCGCATGGAGCGGGGACAGGGTGAGTGGTGGGCCGCGCGCAAGCGCAAGGACCAGCGAGAGGCCGGTGGGGGGGAGGAGGGGGGGGGGGGCACGTACGGCGGAGATGGTCCGGACAGGCGCGCCATTGACGCAGGTGATCATGTCGCCCGGGCGAAGGCCACTCCGGAAGGCCGGAGACTTCCGGTGGATCTGCACAGCGGCGCGGTAAGTCGAAGGGCAATCGGGGGCAAAGGGTGGCGGCGGTGGTGGCGGGAATTGGGCCACGAGCGACGGGGCACTTGGCGAACCTCCTGGACACGAAGATGTGGCAGGCGGGCCCCCCGGCGGGCGGTCTCATCGAAGAAGGACCAGCGCGGAGCCAGGCGCATGCCGACCCAGAGGCGTGCGTTGCACGCGGCCGGCCTGGGCCAGCTGGCGGATGAATGGCAGGGCCGTGTCGATGCGGATGGCAAACCTGCATGGCAGGGGGAGGGGGGGGGGGGGGGGCCCGGGGGAGGGGCGGGGGGAAGAGGGGGGGGGGGGGGGGCGGGGGGGAGGGCGGGGAGGGGGGCGGAGGGGGGGAGGGGGGGGGGGGGGGGGTGGAGGGGGGGGGGGGGGGGGGGGGGGGGGGAAAGGGGGGGGGGAGGGGGGGGGAGGGGGGGGGGATGGAGAAGAGGCAGAGAAAGGTAGGTCAGACTCGAATGCAGGCAGAGTCAGTCCGAGGAAAGACCAGAGGGGGGGGGGGGACAATGCGCGCACGAAATCCCC